TCAAGTAATCCCATATACAATTCCCTTTGTCACACAGTATGTTACTTGCCCGAGATTTGATCGTCGGTATCCCAATACCTCGTTCAATCTCGTTTCCGGCAAGTCACTTTACTCATTCCGTAATGCATGATCCCGTGACCAACCACTTGGTCACATTGAGCTCATTATGATGATGCATTACCGAGTGGGTCCAGAGATTCCTCTCCGTCATATGGAGTGACAAATCCTAGTCTCGATTCGTGCCAACCCAACAGACACTTTTGGAGATATATGTAGTGCACCTTTATAGTCACCCAGTTACGTTGTGACGTTTGGTACACCCAAAGCACTCCTACGGTATCCGGGAGTTACACAATCTCATAGTCTAAGAAACTGATACTTGACATTAGAAAAGCTTTAGCAAACGAACTACACGATCTTGTGCTATGCTCAGGATTGGGTCTTGTCCATCAAATCATTCTCCTAATGATGTGATCCCGTTATCAATGACATCCAATGTCCATAATTAGGAAACCATGACTATCTGTTGATCAATGAGCTAGTCAACTAGAGGCTCACTAGTGACATGTTGTGGTCTATGTATTCACACATGTATCACTGTTTCCGGTTAATAGAATTATAGCATGAACAATAGACAAATATCATGAACAAGGAAATATAATAATAAACAGTTATTATTGCCTCTAGGGCATATTGCCAACACAGTGTGCCCAATTTGAAAATTAGCAGCAACGATCTTTGGAAAAGCACGCTGCTACTAACGCTTTAGTAGTAGCGCGGGTCGGTACAACGCGCTGCTGCTGAATGTAGGTTAATGGACACTGTCAGTCGATATTTGTAGCAACGCGGGTTGCTCCAACCGCGCTACTGCTAACTCCGTTTCAGTAGCGAGTTTTGGGCGCATGCGCTGCTGATAATTAGCAGTAGCGCCTCTTTTTGAGCCGCGTTGCTGCTAAGATTTTGTGTATAAGGTTTTTCCTAGTAGTGTTAGCCTTCTCAAACTCCTCCCCTTTACCTTCATATGCAATTGTTTTACATTCCGCTGCTATACTCTTAGAATTGCATGTGTAGGTTGATTGCTTGACTTGTGCTAAGTTGCTAAAATCTGCCAAGAACTAAAATTGGGAAAAGGCAAGTTTTTTATTTGGTCAAGTAGTCTAATCACCCCCCCTCTAGACATACTTTCGATCCTACATCAAGCTTTACAAACTTTGACAATGTTTATACACAAAAGTATTAACATATACAATAATAAATCGATAGCATTAGATTCATTGTCGAATGTACTTCCACATCATATAGATTTGTTATGCTAAATATTTATATTTTTTCTATAAATTTGGTCAAACTTTACAAAGTTTGACTTCAGTCAACTGTATTATGCGGAGTAAATAAAAACGGAGGGAGTACTACATAATATGTGCCAAAATTTCATGATTATAAAATTATTTTGTGCATATTCGTATAAAGTGCAATTTTGGTGCAAAGTTGTGCGCAAGTTTTAATAAAATATTTCTTTTCTGGACAACCCATTCATGCTATGTGTAAATTATAATAGAATGCGAAAGATGGATGCGGATTTTTGGGACATGATGGCAAGCGAAGATGTTATCTGGACAACCCATTCATGCTATGAGATTAGAAATTAATATAGTGATTAAATTGAATGAATACTTGAACGATACGCCATGTTAATTCGACAAATATGACGTACAGAGGTTGGTGTCTAACCATCTTAAATGGAGTTGGATACACGTTCATAAACATGCAAAATACGGTTCTAGCTGTTCTGTTGTGTTAATGTCAGGCCATTTGAAAACATTAGTCGGTTGCGTTTAAACGTTTCTGTGTCGAACAGGTACGCCTTTAATGGCACTTAGCAAGTGTGGGTCTGCCGTTTTTGTGCTGGTTTGTTTTGCCAAGTTCATTTTGCAGGTTTGTAATTGAGGTGTACTGCTCTATCGGTTCATTAGGTATTACCTCATGGATGATGGGATATCTCCCCAAAGATAAATGTAAACTACATGAGTTGTTGTAATAACAAAAGTGACGGGAAGTTTACAGGAAGCAACTCTTTGTCTCTGAAATTAGACATGATGGATTAATTAGTGCAGACAACAGTAATACCCCTAGTACAACCTTCTTCAACCCGCCTACTGGGAGAAGACAGAACAAGATGACCATGGCATCAAACTACAACGACAACGGAAGTTTAGCTGTCCATTAATTTTGCTACTATAGCAAAACTTTTCCTACGCTCAAAATATGTGCTCGGGCGAGTTTTTCTTATTGCTTTCCTAGGCTTGTTGGTATCCTAGTACAGGAGCTTGCAATGCCCCTCGCAAAAGACGAGCTTGCAATGTCCACCAGCTGATTCTGAACAGGTAGCACACACAGAGTCGATGAGAGGACCTAATGTGATATGATGGATGAGAGCAGCTAATGAACTGGACTAGAACATGAAGGAGCACATTATAGAAAGCATTGCAGGGAAGACCAGCTGTTGAACAAAGAGTACATGTAAAGGTTTAAGTTGTAAATCAATAGTCCAAAACATGTGATAACACTAAAATACCTCACTTTCCAACTTCGACAACGCTGGATGGAGAGAGAGATGGTGGTGCAGGCTTCAAATGCAGTTAACGTTCCCAACCTGTGCCTAGTAAATGAGGTCTGCTCCTAGTAAATGAGTTGGGTCACGTTTGTCAAGCATGTGGCCCCTTATGCATTGATTGTTTTGTAGAATACAGATCCAATACTGCAAGAAGGAATATTCAGTATACGTGATATATATGCACTGCTTAAGGTATGAATACGATACAAATATGAGAGAAATGGATGGTGAGATAAAGACCTCGCGTGGAGTCATGTTCACCTATGCATTTTCGGCAAAAGATGCACTATATATGCTTATTCATTGCATGTCTCAAAAGTGCAATTTCAGTGCAAATTGTGTGCAAGTTTTGAAAGATTTTTCTTTTTAATTTTCTTTCTTCGTAAAGGGTTTCGTTCTTTCCTAGAAACAGAGTTTAGGCTGGCATGGCGGGCTGCCTAATTAATCGGGCTTGACAGAAAAAGACGTTGGGGTCAATCGATTGACCAACAATCAGCCCCTTTATTTTACATTCACAATGAGTAGGATGATTTTTATAATTAAATACTAGATGAGACAACAATCGTATAATCCCAACGACGCAATTCAATGGAAGTCGAAAATACAAATAATTAAAAGATTCCAAGCAAACAATGTTCTCTCAGACAAATGCTCTCTCTCCCTCTCTTCCTGATAGTAGCGACTAGCGCGGTATTCCAAACGCAGCGTTAGAGCAATTCTAGTAGACCCCGCAAAATCCCGACCTGCAAAACGCATTTGCAGTTCAACGTAAACTCGTTTGCAGGTCGAGAACGAGCGCGGCAGAGATGAAACTACATAATTTTAAAAAACAGATTTGCCGGAGAAAGTGCACCATAGTAGTTCATGATCACATACTACATATATTAGTTCATCACATAATCGAACACTACAAACATTAGTTCATACTACACACTACATTAGTACTACTACTAGAGGTGGTGGGGATCTCAGGGCGGCGAGCTCATGGCCATGGACGACGTAGTGGAGGAGCTCAATCCTCCTCGCTGGAGCTGCCGAAGTCGATGTACTTCTCCCTCAGCTCCTCGTGGATGCGCCGCCGCTCGTCGTCCTTCTCCTTGGCGGCGAGGTTGGCCGTGACCGCCTACTTGAAGACGAGGTCTTCGAGCTCCTCGTGGTGGCACTGTCGCAACGCCTCCTCGCACAAGCTCCGCTTGGCAATGGCGTCCGCGACTGCGTCAACATCGGCGACGGAGTCCTCCGACCCGTTGACTCCGCTGCTGCCGAGCTCCTCGGGCTCCAGCTTCACGGCGACCTCCGCCGGCTCACTCCCTTTTCACGGGGAGAAGGCCCGCGCCGGAAGAAGCGGAGCTCCCGGTGTATGAAGAAGATCTCGCCGCCGAGGACGGGCCCGTGGGCGAGGACGGCGTACGGCGTGCCGACGGTCGTACTCGTCGGTCTCCCGGACGCGGAAGCTCGGCGGCGGCGAGGGGCCGCGGTTGGTCCACTTTCTCGCCCCGCGCTTCCTCGCCCCGTCCGACTGGACGTGCCGCTCGCGCTCGGGGTCATTGCCGCCGCCGGATCTGCTCTGGAGCCGCGTCCGGAGCTCCACATGCAGCCCCACATGGCGGATGGAGGCGGACGGGGCTCGCCGACGGCGAGAAATGTGCGATGGGGAGTGGGGGATTGCGCAAGAGGGCGGCAGCGGGGGGATAGGGTTTCGACCTGCAAACGCGTGGCGAACCCATAGCAATAGTGGTCGGGGCGGGCGGTTTGCGGGCCGCGGCATAATTTTTTGCGGGCCGAGCGAGTATACGGGCTCTGTTCTGACCAGAAAATTGGGACGAGACCGTATACTCGCCAGAATTACGTGGGTCGGGGCCTTTTGCGGGGTCTGCTAGAGTTGCTCTTAATGATGGCACACTCCTGCCAGTAACTTACTGAAGTAATTAAGCATTAGCAGCTCGGCCAATCTCGAAAAGAGAAAAACAATACCTTTTCGCCCTTTGTGCATTATACATTCATATGTATATGCGTATTAGTTTCAGAATTTTTTGGAACTTAAAATTTAGAAATTTGAAATTTTCAAATGAAGGGCTCCATGTAGCTGAAGCTCCGTTAGGCGTTTCCGTGAACGTCTGCATTATATAGTTCTCGTTCAAAACCCAAATGCAGCTGTTTTATTTATTTAAGTTCTTAGCCACACCGCAAATCCGTATCTGGCGAACTCAGCAGATGCGCAGCTGCCAGATCACCTGTGCAGTATTTAGCTCACACACGGCCATATATATAAAAAAAATATATAACGCACGCCGTCGATCACCGGTGCAGGTGGGCTGGTGAGTCCCGATCGATCAATCGGCTGGTGTGCAGGACGGTCACAAGAAATGTGCGTCGGACCGATCGATCAGCAGATGACGCACGCGCTGGGGTTCTCCTCGGTGTGGAGGAAGCAGCACGGGTGAGGGTGGTGAGGCAGCGGGTAACAGTGCGGCGGGCGCCACGGCGGGACGTCCTTGGTGTCGCTGTTCTTCTTCTCCTTGTTGCCATCCGTCTTATCGCCTTCCTGCTTCTTGTCCCCATTCTTCTTCTCCTCCTTGGCCAGGCCGACGGAGACCATCTGCACCATGCAGAAGCGCTTGCGCAGCTTGCGGACGACGTCGACGGGGTCGACCGTGCCCACGACCGTCATCCTCTCCTCCTTCATGTCCACGGCGATCTCCTCGATACCTGGGGACGGAAGGAGGCCACGGTTGTCGTCGTCGTCGACCTCGATGCATGCATGTTTTGGACGAAGCAGACCCAGAAAAGAGAAGGGGCGTAAGTAAGTCACCACAGAGAGCGGAGACGGCCTTGATCGCCTTGCGCTTCCGCGTGTCGTCGCGCAGGTCCAGCTTCACCACCACCTTCTGCAGCCGTCAGAGAACCAAACGATCAGATCAAACCAACTACCAGTACATGAGGAGCTAGCTAGGCGCGGTATAAATCACAAGAGAGATCAAGGAATGCCAGTTCGATCGGCCGTAAGCAATGACCTTCACGGCGGCCATCGATCCGAGGATGGACGAATGAATTTGTTGGAACGGCGTGCGGCGGCTTCTCTCCCGGCGACGATGGGAGTATAATCTGGGAGTAGCTAGAGACGGAGCCAGGCGGATTTATATGGAGAGTGGAGACCAATCGAGGGTGGTTGTACACGTACGTACGGTGGCGCCGGGGAATGAATGGCCACGACGACCGACGTCCTGCCGGAGTCTTTGTGCGGCCGGGTCCGGCCGGGGTGGCTGGATCGATTGCGACTTGGCGATCGAGTAATTATGTTGACAGACTTGGGCGTGTGAAGCTAAGTAGGCCGACCGATCTGGCGTTGGGCTAGGCTGTCGCTCGCGTTGCCTTAGTTACCACCCCGTACGTCCCTTGTCCGTGCTTGCAACAATTGGTGATGCGATTGCGACGGCCGTTAAGTTATTGCAAACTGCAGCTAGTCATTGATCGATGAACACCATCCAACCGCTCTAATTAATCTTGGTTCAACCAGCTATAATCCTCACCCTCCGCATTACGTCTGCGGCGACAGCCCATCCGCTCCAAGAGAAAAATAAATTGAAACCGCGGGACAACTCGGCGGATTTGCAATTGTTAGGGTCGTGCAGTGTAGCTCGCGATCGATGCGACGGGTGATCTTAGTCCGTGGACTAGTCATTGCGGATCAGCTGTGTTTTTCTTTAGTTATTGATAATGCAAGAGGGGCTGTCCTGTCCTATAATTTCTCGCTCGAAAATAATACTATATTGTTTCTGCGTTTCCAGATTACCCAAAACATTGCAGTAATGGCACAGCCCCCTATCATCGTTTGGGAAGTCCTTAATCCACCTACAGAAGCAATCAAACAGACTAGTAGCAGGAGTAGATTGCAAATCAAGAGTACATTTTAAAAGACTTCGGATAAGTCTAGCAGCTGAACCCTGGAAAATTAAATGATCAATGTTCACATCATTTCCACAATAGACACACATTTTGCCACCTTTCCAGCATCTTTGAAGCAAATTATCTTTAGTCACGATGAACTTCTTGACCATAAGCCACAAAAAACACTTCATTTTCGAGGGGATTTTGATTTCCCACAGGGTTTTTTTTTTGCTGAAAACCACAAACAGATTTAATTCAAAATTTATCCAAAGAGCTAACGGTGAATTTTCTGTCATCAGCGAGCATCCATTTAATTTTATCTTTTCCTCTCATCATTCCAACCTCCTCACATCTCAATTTCAAACTATTCCAAAACCTCAAAAGCTTCTCCCCGGAGAGTTCTTCTAAAAGTGAATCCCTCCCAGCCCTTATTAATGACCTCAACCACAGTTATATTATGATCAAACTCATACTGTACGCTGCGGTAGGATCGTTTGAGCGGTTTATCTCCCATCCACCAATCCTCCCAAAATATGGTATTCTCCCCATTTCCAATCACTTTTGTACATTGTTGATAAAAAATATATATATTACTGTCGAAAGGCTAGTCCAAAAGTGAGAATCTCCCATGTCGGTCCCTTTTTCGACGAATGATGGATTTTATTGGCTCGAAATAAACTATCAAGAAGATACTAATACAATGAGCAAACACCAGACATCTGCATAGCTAGGATGGACATAATAACCACCAACTCACACATATGCAAAAATAGGCCAGCAAACTGCGTGTAGGCGAGGAAAAATGAAAAAAAAAAAACACCCAAAGCGATCAAATCTGCAATCAGCAAACTACAACAATTACCATATCTGCACCAACCATCTCAAGACAACATAGGGTGACATGGTTCTTCAACAGCAATGCCTTCAGGAAGAGCGACACTCAAGCAACGGCGTGACTTGATCGAACCACAAGGACATTATATAGATTTTCACAATGAAGAATCAATCCAAGCAATGTCTTCAACAAGGTAACATCGTAAGAAAAACATTGCCAACACCAGGTATGACCACTCGGGTCTGACTTAAGCTTTCACCCCGGAGCTGAAGACCGGGTGCTCAAGGACACCATCATCGAAGTCGCTCATGTGTGTCGTCACCACATTTCCGCGATCCCAATAGGTACATGCGATGCAATTGTCGCCACTGCGCAACCATCCTGTTGCGTCAAGCCATCGTTTATAATTTGTATCTCACCACCAAAGTAAATCACCGGATCAGAAAAAGTGGTCATGGGATACGGTGTCCGGCGCACCGATGCGCCCGATCGATCCGTGTCTGGAGTCTGGACACGGCATGCCCGGTCTTGAGGACACGGTGACCATGTATGGAACGGTTCAACTCTGGGCAGTACTGCATGCATGCACGGTCTTCTCTTCCACAGGACAGGGTTGAGCGCGGCCCCCGGTTTAGGAACCAAAACTTCATGGCGTGTCCTCTAGGGCCAATCAAGGGGATGCAATGATCAACGCGCAAGAAGAGGCCGTGTGGCGTGGGCTATGGTTCATCCTTGCACAGTTGCACCAACAGTGCTAGTAGGAACGATTCAACTTCGGGCACCACGGAATGCCAGGTCTTCTATTCTACAGCTTGTGGAATGATCCAAGGAGAAATGCGGCAGCAACGGGCCGTGCAAGGACAAAGCTATCCACCCACGTACACTGGCTGGCTGATCGCTGCTGGTACCTGCCTGAGCGTTAGTACAAGACCCGGCGTGGTCCATTGACCAGCCCTGAAAACCTGAATTCTCATGGTCCGTTAGTGCCGTACGTACGTCGCACAGATACAGATGCATGACATGCCTGAAATCTCTCTATTGCAATGTCAGTCCAATCTGTTTGGCTCAGCTCCTCCGCTGGAAGAAAACATAACAAACAACTGAGAGGCCAATCGCCCAGCAGATTTGCAGGTCCCGGCACCGATTTTTTTTCTTTCGAAATGGAGGCAAAAGCTATGCCTCATCTCTTTAATAAAGAAGAAGATTTTACCCGTTTAATTATAGAAAACCAGGCAAAAACCATAAAAACCCACGAAGGGGCACCACCAGCTAACCTGGCTATCAACACAAAAACCACACACAGCCGAAGGAGGAGCACCGTCGAGGCTGACCACAAGTGGCATCGTCATCACTCCTCCGCGAGCTAGCGATTGCGACTTCACCACAACCAAACCACCAACAAGCCCTCATATCAACAACCTGCATGAGGCACCACATCAAGCTATGCCAAACAGTTGGCTACGAGGAGAAGCGCCGAGACAACTCCGACTTTGATGACGATCAAGCGCAAAAGAATATGCAGACGTTGCGCCGACGAAGACCTCCCCCGAAGACCACCGAGCACCCGTCATCGTTGCCCTCGATGCCCCACAGAGGCCGCTCCGACTCCGCGATGAAAGGGACCATGAGAAAACCAGCCAAACACGCCGGAAAGAGCCGACTACCAAGACCCCGCCGCGACCCTGCACAACACACCAACAACAGCGTTGCCAAGCGGGACAACACACCGAGAAGGAGAACAGCCGCCCTCACAACCATGTCAAGCAAGCCGCCGCAGATCAGGCACACCCAGTGGTGTTGGAAATATGCCCTAGAGGCAATAATAAATTGGTTATTATCATATTTCCCATTCGTGATAATGTTTATTATGCATGATAGAATTGTATTGATCGGAAACTTAAATACATGTGTGAATACATAAACTACACTGTGTCCCTAGTAAGCCTCTGCTAGACTAGCTCGTTGATCAAAGATGGTTATGGTTTCATAACCATAGAAATGAGTTTTCATTTGATAACGGGATCACATCATTGGGAGAATGATGTGATGGACAGACCCACCCATAAGCTTAGCATCAGATCGTTTAGTTATTTGCAATAGTTTTCTTCATGTCAAGTATCTGTTACTTCGACCATGAGATCATGCCACTCCCGGATGCTGAAGGAATGCCTTATGTGCTATCAAACGTCATTTCGTAACTGGGTGACCATAAAGGTGCTCTACAGGTATCTCTGAAGGTGTCTATTGGGTTGCATGGATCGAGACTGGGATTTGTCACTCCGTGTGACGGAGAGATATCACTGGGTCCTCTCGGTAATACAACATCGTAAGAAGCTTCATGTGACTAATGAGTTTAGTCACGGGATCTTGTATTATGAAACGAGTAAAGAGACTTGCCAGTAACAATATTGAACTAGGTATGGAGATGCCGACGATGGAATCTTGGACAAGTAACATATCGCCGGTCAAAGGGAATTGCATACGGGATTGACTGAAGATATCAAGATTGAACTAGGTATGGATATATTGTGGTTCAACTGATAAAGATCTTCATTGAATATGTAGGAACCAATATGGGCATCCAGGTTTCGCTATTGATTATTGACTGGAGAGGAGTCTCGGTCATGTTTGCATGTTCTGAACCCGTAGGGTCGCACGCTTAACATTCGGTAGCGCTAGGGTAGTGTTGAGATATTAATAGCGGAAAGTGCAAAGGTTGTTCGGAGTCTCGGATGAGATCCAAGATATCAAGAGGAGATGCGGAATGGTCCGGAGGTAAAGATTTATATATGGAAATTCATATTCAGGGTTTCAGAAAATGTTCGGGTTTTTTCGGTATTGTACCAAGAAGGTTCTAGAAGGGTGGGCCCACCTGGATGGGGACCCAAATAAACATGGGTAGTGGGGAAACTCCTCACACCATTGGTCTAGGCGCACCATGATTCTCCCTTAAAATGAATAGTACCATTTCCCGAAGGGATAAGATCAGGATCCTTAAAAAGGGGGGATAGCGACCAAGGGGGAAGAAAAGGAGGGATTTCCTTCCTTCCCCTTTGACCAACGACCCTAGGGCCTTGGAGGGTAAGCCATCAGCCCCCTCCACACCTATATTAAGGTGGGGAGGCATTGGGTGCAGCCCATGTCGGTGTCAAAACCAGCAGATCTCGGGTAGGGGGTACCGAACTGTGCGTCTGAGGATCGAAGGTAACAAGGAGGCAAGGGACACAATGTTTACCCAGGTTCAGGCCCTCTTAATAGAGGTAATACCCTACTTCCTGCTTGAGTGACTATGATGAATGTAGGGGT